ATTACCAATCGATTGGCACACCTATTTTTGAACTATTTGAAGTTGATTTTCAATAAGCATAATTTTCATCGATTTCTTGCCATAAATACACGATCAAACAACTAGGAGACACGCGATAAATATATATGCCACTCTCACTCTTTTGAACTTTGTATATTTCTTTCAAATTGTGTGAGTGTGAGATTATTCTATTAAAATTGTCATGGCTCTTAGAAGACTAAGCTTTTGTTCCATCCCCTGGTTTGATTCCTTCACCACTCAGCAATAAGAGATGTGATTCATCTACGAGTTTTCCGACCAAAAGCTTCGTGAGAACTCACACCTTAAATTCAAAAGCCTGTAAAGAATGTGGATTCTTTACAACTTTTGAGGAGTTAAACTTGTCCGGTTTTCTCTGCAGCACCTAAAAAAAAAGTACCTGAATATGTTCTTCTCAAATATTTACCTCACTGATGGAATAGTTCAATCTGAAGTAAAAAGGCATATGATATCTCTGTCATTGGAAGAATTTGGAAACATTTTAAATCTTTCCCATAAAGATATTGTTATAGATTCCAGGGATAGAGGATACAACTAAAATCACAAGATTGTTGCATCCTCTCTGACGAAGAATCCAACACCCATAATACCAAATCCATTCACTGCTGGATACATTCACCTTGATAGTTGTATGGTCCATTATATGATCAACCGCATAATTTTCCCAAGGAATAACAACTTTGGTCTCATAACCCAAGTCAATGTTAAAGCCACATAGATAATATATAAGAAATCAAAACAAACTGGGAAAATCAAGTAATCAAATACATGATAGAGAACAATAAATGAGAAGTGTGTCGACCATATATAATTTTGATAACAAAGATCCTTGAATACTGGATTCAATTTTGGAGAAGAAAATTACATAGGATAAGTGGCAAAAATAGGAAAATCAGTCTTGACATGAAATAAGTATGAGACCGTCAATGAAAAAAATGATAGAATAACCCTTAAATGAGAATAAGAGAAAGGTAAACAATCAAGAAACAACCATAGACCTAGGCGATTTCGATTACTCTATTCCACAACTACCCTTGACTGATGACATGTTCAAAGTCTTAATTGGAAAGATTGACATAATCAATGGCAAAATAGGCTTCATAACTCGTCATTTTATCCCAGATCCAGCGCAACCACCATGATATTTGTTTTCGAATGATGACTTTGATGTAGAATAATCTTACTCATATGATCTAGTTTCTAAATTTGTCTGTTTCTCTTTTTTCACAATGCTTATAAATTCAGATTTAAGTTTAGCATTTTCTCGATTTTTTTAATCCTAATTTTAGCAATTTAAAATTAATAAAAGTGTGATATTTTTCCTTTCCTAAATGTTTATTTGTCAATATGTTTGCATATTTAAATTATCGCATCACATCTTTACCCGCCTTTTTGATTTCAATAAAGGGGGAGAAGTATACTCTCAATGGGAATAAAGTAAAGCTGTCAAAATGGGCTACCCAGTCCTAAACGGGCCGGCCCTGGTGGGCTCAGGCTTTTTAAGGCTGGGGCAAAAAATCCTTTTTCTAATATGGGATCAAAAATTACTACACGAGTCCGATCCTAGATGGACTTTTGGCTACCCGACCCTAAACAGACATTTTTAATAAAAAATTAAAATAAAAATCCATAATATTTATTATAAATAAAATTAAAAATTATATTATTTTAAACATAGTACATTTTTAAGTATTATATTATCTTTTATAAATACTATAATGTATTTTTAAATACGATACATGTCTAAATTATATAAAATAGTACTCAATATTTAACATAAGAGAAACTAATAGAATACAAAAAAAGAGTATTGATTATATTAAAGAGAATGATTGAATGGAATAGAGATAAAATCTAGTGAGGTGGGAAAAATCAATGTGTTATTTTGGAGTAAGACAATATAAGTATTAATATAATTTTTTAAAATTTATATCGATGTAGGCCTAATGGGCTACCCACGACCCATATGGGTTAGCCCTAACAGGTAGTGGGCTTTTTAGGGTTGGTCTAAAAAACCCTAAAAAATATGGGCTCTAATTTTAAGGCCCAAACCTTGTGACTTTTCGGGCTTGACAAACCGATCCATATGGGTTAGCCCATTTGACTGCTTTAGAATAGAGTATACTCTACTTAATTTAGAGGGGGAGTTTGATTACTCCAAATATATACGTTTGTTTCTTTTACCACTTCCATTAGAGATGCATTGTCATCATCGAAAAGGGGAGAATGTGGAATCATGTTTTACATGTTATTGATTAAGGAAGCTTTCTTGAAGATGAACATGCAGTTTGTGAGATGTCATTACTAATACCTGGGCCACCTTTTCGATATTCTGGTAACACGTTTCTTCTCCCACTAGCGTTTTTGAAACGAAGTATACCAGTTTTTGGTGGGCCTCATATTCTTTGGTTAACGTGACGCTGACAACCTCTTTGGCAACAACCAAGTATAAATACAAAGTTTCCCCTGGAGACGGTCTAGTAAGTACTAGGGGTGTAGCCAAAGTTTTATTCAAAAAAACTAAATGCTTCCTTACAAGCAGTGGTTCATTCGAAATCATTTTTTTCTTCAGCAATCAGTAGAAAAATAAAGTTGTGCAAATTTTGATATGAATCTATTCAAGGCGATCGACATACCATTTAACATTTGAACTTACTTTTTTGAGGTCGGCAAACTCATTTGAATTAATGCCTCAAATTTGTTAAGTTTTGCTTTAATCCCCAACATGAAGTTCTTCTCGGTCACATTTTACGATCACGTCATCCATGTAAACTTCCAGCGTTTCCTCTATCTCTTCTTGGAAGATCTCGTTCATTAGTAAGTTGCACCCACATTCTTCACGCTAAAAGGCATGGCATTATGTTGGCATTTTGCTTGATATGTCATAAAGGCAGTTTTATCTTGTCAGGCCCATACATAAATATCTGGTTATACCACAAATAAGCATCCATGAAAGAAAGCAATAGGTACCCCACAAAATTATCCACTAACTTATCAATGTTTGGGAGTGGATATGAATCTTTTGGGCAAGCCCTGTTGAGTTCCATGTAATTAACACACATCCTTAATTTCTCAGAGGCCTTATTCACCAATACGATGTTGGATAGCCACCCAATGTATTTGGCCTCAGAAATAAACTAGACATCAATTAGGGCTTTGACCGTGTGGCCTTTTTAGGTGGTTGTCTCCTTTGACGTTGATAAACGTAACGAGCTTTAGCATCCACATTCAGGTGATGACACGCTACACTAGAATTAATGACAGACTTCTTGTGCGGGTTATCATAAAACAATCGACATTATCCCAGAGGCATTTAATTAATATGGCCCTTACTTATAAGAAAAAGTTGACGCCTATCGTTACTGACCTGGAAGGGTCGTCTATGAGCTGAATGGTCTCAAAATCGTCACTAGGGACGTGCCAAATCTCGTCTTCTTGGGCATCTAGGTCAAACCCCCACGGGGGTTTGCTAACTTATCTTGTATCTCTGCTTCGGAGGCTGCAACCTATACTAGGATACCTTTTTAGATAAATCCTTGATTCTTTTGGCTTCATTTATGTCGACAATTGCCATGACTAATCTTTCTTCCACATTATAATATGTCACTTTCAAATGTATCAGGGACGCTACCGCATCTATCTTGTTAGGAAGGATCTCCTTAGGATACCCCAAAAGAAGCTTTTACATGACACTAATATGAAATTAAGGATCACCTTCCTCTTACTAACCCCCCACCCTCCTCCCCGCACATTTATTGCCAGATATACGACTCCCTGAGGACGAGTGATCAAATAATTGAATGCTAGTAAATCTCCTCTAACACACGAACTTAAACATGCTTGTTAGATTCATAGCAAATCCATTGTATCTGAATAGAGAATGTTACATGAACTTTCATCGTTAATGAAGAATCCAGTCACATTGCGATCGATAATGGTGATTGTACGGATAAGAGGCAAATCATCTTCTGGAATTCCATTAATCTTATCACGATCTAGGAATCCTAACTCCATCGATCCATTATTCTCTAAATGTTAGTGTCAGTCCCGAATATGGAGCGATCTAGCGTATGAGAGGCTCTAGACGATGTGTCACCGTGGAATTTGTCAATAGATAATACCTAACAAATGGTTGATTCATAAAACATATTCCGAATTCTACCCATAACTACCGAAAATATTGTCTTTATTATCCTCTCTTATAGTTATAGGTCTGAATTCCATATCAAGATTGACTTGAATGTGAAATTTAATGAGAATTATTTATCAAATTTCCACAGATGATGTCATTTTCCGTTTAATAACCAGAAATGGAGGTTTTAGCTCTCAAAGAAACCGTAAATTATGAGAGATTGACGTATGTTAATTTTAGACGGTGGTTCCAATGTCTTTTACGGCGGCGCATGATGGACCTGCATGATTACAATTCAATGTCTCTTCTCATAACATGTGAATTATTTTATATGTTAGACCAAGTGGAATGAGCTTGATACATAATGAGCTTTTGTCAATTTTGAATAGCTTTTGAAAAAAAATTAAGAGCTAATAAAAAAACTAAAAAATTAAAAATTAAGAGCTAATAAAAGAAAAAATTATAAGTTAAAAAGTACAAACTCAAAAACTATTTTAAATAGCTTTTGAAAAAAAATTAAGAGCTAATAAAAAAACTACAAACTAAAAATTAAAAAACAATTATCAAACAAAACATTTTTCAGCTAAAAAACTAAAAATTAAAAACTAAAAACTCTTTTTAAAATTTTACCAAAACTAGTAATATCAGATCACAATTTTTACCTTCAAAATTTAACTAGATACGTTTCATCTCCCCTGTTTGGTTTGGTATATAAATTAACGCGCCCCTTAAATCCTTCTCCTTTTATTCTTCTCTCACTGTTTCTCTAAAACCCAAACTCCACACTCTTGGCGGCTACACCTTTCTTCTTCACTTTCTCAATTAGATCATGGCTGCTGTTGCTCCTTCCTCTGACAGTATCCTTCTTTATCACTCTCTCATCTCCTTCTTTTCTTTTCGTTTTCAAATATTAACCAATAACCGTTAGGTTTTTTTTTTCTGCATCCAACTTTTGTTGTATGCATGTGTACTCTCTTTCTTAGGGTTTCTTAATTTCTTTGCTTGCTTTTCGTTTTTGTAGTTCATAACTGTAACCTAACGGTTGATTTTTATTAATATATGTATATGGTTTATTGCTGTTTTGTGTAACCACATATTCTCTCGGTGAATTTTATTTTTGGTGTATAGTTGTTTAATTTCTCTCAATTTTATTTAGTTTTTTTGCGGTTTACATGTGAATTTTTCATTGTATGTGAAGTTGTATTTCTTGACCTAATTATACTATAGAAGCTGCAAGTTTACTGCAGAATTTGTCCTTGGATTCACAGCCCAAGACTATTAGTGGAGATGCTGAGCCTGTGAAGAAGGTAATTCGTATCTGATTGCTGCTCTGCATATGTTTTTTTTATTGAACGTTGACATGTTTAAAATATAAGATTTATTTGTTGTTGTGATGTGTTGTGCTGACTGATGTTTGTTATCATTTGTATGCAGAATGGACCGAGTTTTGCTGGTAGTAAAGCTAAGGGGACGGGCAAGCCATTCAATCCGAATCCAAGTTTTGCTCAAAATGGATACCCTTCTACTGCATATTATTACGGAGGTAAGGTAAGCTGTTTATGATTGTAAGGATACACACATGCTGATGACCCAAAAAATGGAAAGATTGTTGATTTAATATTTGAATTACTTGTATTACCTTCTGAAAAATGACGTGGCCATGTGATTTTTTTTCCAGGTTATGATGGACAAGGAGATTGGAGTGGCTATTCTAATTATGCGAACCTTGACGGAGGGATGGCTCAAGTAAGTGCTATGTTCTCTGGTTTTGTGACTTGTGATGAATGTATGTCTTGTATTTTTCCCACATGTTCTGTCGGTGGCTGCTTTTATTATATGTTACTTAGCTACAACATTGAAGGATTGTAGACTGGTGCTTGCTGCATCCTAAACTGTTTTGAATTTTTTTTGAGACATATAGTCTGTTTTATCCATTTATGTTGGTGAACTGGTGTGGCTGTTTGAATTTAAAATGATCATGAAGTGGTAGTGAATCAGTTATAGTTTGATCCTCCCTACTCTTGAATTTTCAATTTTTTTTGTTGTTTTTAGGGTTTCTGTTCTCCTAGGTTATGATTGTTTCTTATCGTTTTTGTTTGTTGAAATATCATTTTTTTTATTGAGATGCCGTTAACTACTTAATAATTGTTTTTCTTGCTGGATCTATTTACAGGGTGTTTATGGGGATAACTGCTCTTATATGTATCAAGGTTATGGATATACACCATATGGAGCGTATGCTTCACCCAATTCCTCCTCTCCAATGGTTCAACATGATGGTCAGCTGTATGGGCTGCAACAGTATCAGTATCCTTGTTCTTATTACAACTCTCCAACTTCTGCTGATGTGTTTGCTCCAAATAAAACCAGTGTTGCACAACGGGAAATGTCAACTGCAGTTAATGCGGACCGTGTTTCTTCTAATGTTATGAATAATGGAAACTCTGTTGGCATGGTCAATGGTGATTGTACAAACCAAAATGGGTTAAAGTCATTTATTACCAGTTCCCAGCACACATCTTTTAATACAAGGGATTCTTATCAAGGGTCTAGTTTGCCAGCTTGTGCTCCATTGTCAGGATATCAGGGTCAAAGATTGGGTACTCATGGTACACAGTCATCAATTCCTACAGATCTGTCATTGGTTTCTGATAGACAGACCAAACACGGAGGAAAGGTTGGATTATCTCCACAAGTTATGCCTGTCAAAGATTTCTCATCTCAAAGAAATCGAAGACACACTCCGCCGCTTCCACAATTCATGGTATGTCAGATTTTCATCCTTTTCGTTGATTTTATTTTTATTTTTACAAGTTCCTTAACATAATCAAAACCTCAAACATTATACGCTGTGTGTGGGGTCTTAATTAATAACATCCAATCAAATCGATTATTTTTACTGAACAGTTTTCCTTTTGTATCATTGCTGCATATATTATTGGTATCAATATAGCCGTCCGTCGTGATGCATGTTTAAACCAATTAAATTTCAACTCAATCATAAATTCTTTGTTGCAGAACTCGAATGGTTCCCGGCATCCATCTGGAATGGAACTAGTTCCCGGATTCATGAACAGCATGTATCCAAGCAACAGTATGTTCAGCCAATATGGAAACACATTCAGAGCTAATTCTCGCTTTGGCTCTTCTGCATATGGATCTAGAACAGGCTCTTATGATTACAAGTTTAGAGCCACAGGTAATGGCTATGTTGCTAATGATTCCAGAAGGAATGTGGACGGTTTCAGTGAGCTAAATAAGGGACCAAGAGCTGCTAAGATTTCTGATAATAAAGGCGTGAAAAGTCTTGGATCTGTCACATTATTACTTAAAGGACAGAACCTTTCAGTGAAGAGTGATAACAAAGAAGTGCCTCTGGTGGTTCCTAATAAAGAACAATACATTGGAGAAGATTTGTCTGAGAATTATTCCGATGCAAAATTTTATGTCATCAAATCCTATAGTGAGGATGATGTTCATAAGAGCATAAAATATAATGTTTGGGCAAGCACTCCCAACGGCAACAAAAAGCTGGATGCAGCATATCAAGAAGCCAAGGAGAAGCCTGGTGGTTGTCCCATATTTTTGTTATTTTCAGTGAGTGTCATATGCAGCATTCACTCTGTAAACCTCCAGATTATATTTTGTTTTATTAAACTGCTTGTTTTCCCTAATTCATTTTTTCCAAACAGGTCAACACTAGTGGTCAATTTGTTGGTTTAGCTGAGATGACTGGTCCAGTTGATTTCGATAAAACTGTCGAGTATTGGCAGCAGGACAGGTGGACTGGTTGCTTTAATGTGAAGTGGCATGTCATTAAGGATATCCCAAATGGTTTGCTAAGGCACATAACACTTGAAAACAACGAAGACAAACCTGTAACTAATAGCAGGGATACTCAAGAGGTATTTTGCTTAGTTACTCGTTTCATTTTACTCCATGAACAAACTCTTTCTGCAAGATGCTTATATATGTATTTCTGCAGGTTAAGTTTGATAAGGGCATTCAAATTGTAAAAATTTTCAAGGAACATTCAAGCAAAACAAGCATATTGGATGATTTTGGGTTTTATGAGTCCCGTGAAAAGACCACTCAGGAGAGAAAGTATAAGGAACATCAGTTATCAAAACAGGTTAACAATGCCAATGATATAACATTTGGCTCAGTTACATTACCCAAATCTCTTGATACAACTTTGATGAATGAATCAGCTACTGCAGATGCTGCACAAGGAAAGGTGAATTCAGAGGTACTGGTAGAAATGAATGGATCCACACATGCATTTGAAGATTCTTCAAAGAGCAGCAGTTAAATTAGTGATAGGTTATTTGCTGATATTTGTTATTGTTTTATGTGTTTTCTTTGGTTTCTGGTTCTTTTTGTTTTCTTCCAATTTCATTAGTCATGGAAGCATTGTTGTGTTTGAGTCTTAATTTATGCTTATTGGACCTTGGTATGGAGTGTATTAACTCGTTTTAATTTCTTTTTCTTGTCTCGTTTAATTTAATAAATATAAAATGTGACTGTTTTTGTCCTCAATATCCTAGTATGGTTTATATAATTTACTACAAAATTTGGTACAACACTTGAAAGTTTGAAATTGTCCTTTATGTGTTCAGAGATGCGTTTAGATGTATGTTCGAATGTGCATAAATCATAACTAAAATATGTTATTCTAAAATATGTTATTCTAAGATCCATCCCAAATCACAATTAAATTGCACTAATCTTCAAGTAGGCAAATTGACGCATCATTTATTCAGGTAGATATGTCAGCCATTCAAAATATAAGGAACATTTATTCAGGTAGATATGTCAGCCATTCAAAATATAAGGAAATGACGTCAAACATACATACACATCCCTCGACTCTTGTATCGGCCTAAGGAAATGTCATCTGGTACCATATGGTTAAGAGAGACTCTAAATGGTTCAACTGCACTATTTCCCCTACACGGAACAAAAACGGTTGCACGAGGTCAATTCTTTATGTAGGTAGGAACATATTCAAACATGGTGATGCAAAGGAAGTGAGAGATGACCCATCCTCCAAAATGGTTTGAGTACAATATTAATAACATGTGTAACAAATAAATTATGAAAATATTAGTAACAATACATTACCGTAAGCAGCGTGCAACTCTCCAGTTGTACTCGTGAATCGAAGTCAAGTCAGTGAAGTACTTAAGGTACAACACATCAACATAGGTTTTACTTTTGTCCACAAAATTAGACGTGCCAACCAAGAACAAGAGGTAACGCTTTATGTCGATGGTACTCAACATACACATCATCACCTTCGGCTTCACAACCCACTGCATGTCGTCTTTATAATGCTTTTTCAAAAATTTAAACCGTGCATGAACACCTCTAATGTCAGCTACCTCTTTGGCGGCCTTACTAGGGCTAGCACCCAAATGGGTGACCATCAGATCGACCCATTCCTCTTGCCCGATTCGTCCGTGGTCCAGTAATCTCTCTGTAATAGGAAGATGTAGGAGGCATGAGACGTCATTCAAGGTGATGTTCATCTCGCCTATAGGAAGGTGGAAAGACGACATTTACAAACACCATCTCTCAGCAAAAGCCGCATGCATGCAATGGTTTATGGTCTTGTAAGCAGAAGAACATAAATTGACAAAACCAAAATAATAGAGAACATCAATGAACCAAACATTAGCGGGTTGTGCCAACTCTAATATCTTTCTGCAATGGCTTACCGATTTCAAGCAATAACGCTTCTGTCAAAAGAAAATATCACCATCAACATCGATTTGCTTAGATGAAAACTTATGAATTTCAAAAGAAAATAAATACACCCCTTCGCATACATGCCTAGTAGCATGATCGACATATATATGAAGTAAAAAGGTGTCAAATGAGCCTCCTAGGTAACTCTCTAAAGGAGCATCAACATAGACATCAACTTCCTCTTGGGCTTTAGAGGCTTCAAATTCTGCTGCATCATGTGCTTTAGAGGCCTGAGAGAGTCGGCTATGCGAACCAGACGTGTGAGAACCTTAGGGATGCGAAGTAGCTGCACCATCAAACAAGTTATCAGCAATTTGTGGCCTCGTGTTCCTTGCTACGACCCTCTCACGTCGTGCCAACGCGGTTTGAGACACACACCTAAGCCTAATCCGACTAGTGTTGTTTCCATCAATTGCACATGCGCTAGAAAAAGAGACAAATATAAACATGTCAGGAAAATTCACAAATTCCACAAATTCAACCAATTTTTTTGCCTAAGTCTGATTATGAGATGTATCTCCGAAAACAGTGCATACAAAATCCAGAGATGCATCCCCAGACAAACTTGTGATTGTCTCTCATGAAAAAAACCCCTTTTCTGCCCTACCAGTTCCAAAAATCCCCAATATATGCTCTTCTACCCTACTAATTTTCTTTACACTATTGTCTATCATACCTAATATATCTAATGTAGCCTAAACAACTCTACAAATTAAAAAAATAAAAAGATATTACATTTTGAAATACTTACCTAATCAAAATGATGAGAAGTAACTTGAATATTTGAGATGTTGGAAAGGAGGAGAAGTTTCAATGTTGCAGAGCTTCAATGAATGATTTTTGGCTGAATGGATGAGAATGTTCAATATTGCAGAGCTTAAAATTTATTTTGAGAACTTTTTTATAAAATGAAGAAAGAGGAAGAGGGAAGGTCTGACGTGATATGAAACATTACCGTCAAGAGATTCATCTCCGAACCACCTACAAACTTTTCAATAAATGATATTTATGAAGATGCATATTCGGACACACTTTTTAAACATATGAAGATGCATCTCATGATTAAATATTTGGTACAATGAGGATGCCCTTCAATTTGACATGAGAAATGATTGATATAAGTGCGTTCAGAGATGCATCTTCGAACTCTAGGGACAATATGAATTTTTTATAGTGGTGTGGAATAGGGGTGACAAAACAGGCCCACTCCGTCGAACATGTCTGACTCGTCGCACATGTCTGTTTTGCCCGCATTTTTTGTTGGACAGATCAAGGCATTAGACCCACACCATTTGATGTGTCCGCCCGACCTTTTTTTGCGAGCTTTCGGGGCAGGAGAGTTTACATACATCTTTGTAATTTTTAGGCCTAAAGGTTTCAAAGCCCACAGGCTTGCCCCACTATGCCTTCACTTTTGTAGTGTGGATTTTTATAGTACACTTCTGCGACATATTTTCTTACGTGATATTGTTATTTATAGCGTAAAAATCAGGTGACTACTACGTATTTTTTTTAGTAAAAAATGTATAATGTTACTATGTGTCTTTAAAGAGATAAATAATGGAATAAATTACTAATAAGTCTCTCATTAAAATTAATTTCTTAATAAATTTTATTGTCACCCTCTAATCTCATATTGGTGATTTTATATTTAACTTATAAATAATTGTATAATAAATTCAACAAAACCTTTAATTGTTTATTATTATTTTTTTTAATTCTCTAATTTTTAAGAGAGAAGCATTTTTGATAATTTGAATCTCAAACCTTCAATATTTTGAATTTTGATTACGTTTCAAATCGACAATCCAAATCAACAGTTTCAAATAATGGTGGTGGTTTCAAATCAAACAACAATACCAAATAAAACAATTTAAATCAGCAACCTAAAGTTGTGGATTTTAAAATAGCAACAACAAAAACTTGAAGGAACGTGGTGGTGGTTGTGGTTTCTGCACCTATCGTTACATACATATTTTTCACGTAATAAAGTTGTAGCGTGTTTGCTCCATCGTGATATTGCTGCCTGTGCCTTAAAAATCACGTGCCTAGTGTTTTTTTTAGTAAAAACATATAATGTTAATATGTGCTTTTAAAGAGATAAATTAATGTTAAGTCTCTCACTAAAATTATTGTCTTACTCAATTTTATTGTCACCCCTAATCTCGTATTGGTGATTAATTGTAGTAACGAATTCAACACAACCTTTAATTGTTTATTTATTTTTGTCTAACTTTTAGGAGAAGGAGTTTTGATAATTTGAATCTCAGACCTTCAATATTTTGAATTTTGATTACTTTTCATAGTTTTTTTTAATAGACCAACCACTGTACTTTTTCTATTGGGATGGTGTAATTTCAGAAAAAAAAACCCACCAAAGAAAAGAAAAAAAAAGCCAAAATGGATAACAAGAAATATATGTGGTAATGCTGAGATGCACTCTTTGTCTTTTTTTGAAACTATTAAGATTGTTTCATTCAAGAATAAGCCATGAGTTCAAAGCAAACATGTCCCTCCACACAGAATCAATCACATGAAATTCCTTTGAGGAACCAAAACTCAACCAAGAAGTGTTGTGTTGTGTTAGAATTAGTACTAGCATGCTCATAATCTGCTTCTGTAGAATCTCTTAAAAAAACACCTCTTATGGCTTCTTTTCTTTCCTTATCTCTTCCCAAACTAAACTTAATAAAAGCCTCTTCAGCTTCTACAACAACAACACCTCTTTCAACTCCTGAGGCACTCAATGAGAAATTTGGAAGAAAAGGAATCAAATTCTTGGAGAATAATAGCATTCCCATTGTTGAGTTGACAGTTAGAAATGGAAGCTCTTTGAACCTAAGATTACCTGATGCTCATGTAACATCTTACAAACCAAAAGTGTTTTGGAAAGATGATGGTTTCGAAGAATTTCTTTACACTATTCCTGCCACTGAAACAGGTCTTTATAAAGCTAAAGGTGGAATTGGTTTGGTCTTGAATGAAGTTTTACAACCTGGTGCAAAAGCGTTGCTTCCTTCTACGCTAGAATGGACTGTAAATGATGTTGATTATGATGCCATTGATGCTCTCCAGGTACAGTTTCATAGATATTTTACTTGAAAATGCTGTGTCTATGTTTGGTTCCTCGTTTCGAATCTATTGTGACAGTACAATACTGAAACTTGGTTTTTCCCGCAGGTTGAATTGATAAGCACTAATAGGTTTTTTGACATGACTTATATTGTGACACTCTATCCTGTGAGTATGGCAACAGCGGTTATAGTTAAGAACAAAGCTCCGAAGCCTGTTACTCTAACGAATGCTATACTAAGCCATTTTCGATTTAAGAGAAGAGGTGGCGCGGCTATTAAAGGCCTTCAAACTTGCTCATACTGCTCACATCCTCCTCTTGTTTCCCCTTTTCAAATCTTGAATCCGTCGGAAGCGGTTAAGTCTGAGCCTAGTAGATTGATTTCCTTTGGTGCTGAGCCTGAATTGAAGCCTGGTTTATGGACTCAACAGGCTGTTCCTATTACTCTCCTTGAGAATAAGATGAGTAGAGTCTTTGCTGCACCTCCGGAGGAAAGATCGAAGGCGTTTTATAACACACCGCCTTCGAAATATGAAATCGTTGACCAGGTTTGAATGAGAAGTTTCATTTCAATACTAAATTTTTTACACATTTCATCAATCATAAAAGATGTTTATGGAATAGTTTCTTTTTTCAGGGACGTGAGATTTTCTTTAGGGTTATAAGAATGGGATTTGAGGATACATATGTGTCAAGTCCTGGTTCGATGTCAGAGAAATATGGAAAGGACTATTTTGTATGCACTGGTCCTGCTTCAATGTTGGTGCCTGTGATTGTGAATCCTGGTGAAGAATGGAGAGGAGCACAAGTTATTGAGCATGATAATCTCTCGTAATCATGTTAATTAACAAAAACGTATTAGTTTACATGATTATTTGAAATCTTTCCTTTCCTTTCTCCCTTTTTTTTCTCTCTGCACTGTTCTTCCTATGTATATTCCTATGATACACTACTATCAATAAAATAGATTACACAATGTTTTCAGGTTTTTCATTTCTTTGGATCCCTTAGAATGCATTTTAACAAATTAGCATTGACATTAGATAAGCCACGTAACAGTCCATTTATTATTTCGAAATGTTGATTGAGAGGTATTTCACAACCTAAGATTAACTTAATAACTTCAACCTGAACCCTGGATCAATCTCTTGGCGAATTACTGAGGATCATAACTTGTAATTTTACCCTCTTGGCATTTTTCTGAGGGCATCACAACTCAGAAGTTCATTCAACGTGTTCTAGGCTAGACAACACATTTTTTCAATGAATACATCTCAACTCAACGCATTGATTTAGATGATCTCACATGAGTAGAGATGTTCAACTATCTTGTTACTCTCATGGCTATCTCGTCGTTTTATTGAAAAGTAAGTGAATTTATCTTGCCCTTATTGCTGAAAATTAAGGGGTTTTACCTAGTCTTTTTGTATTGAAGGCTAGACGACTTTATCTCGTCTCTTATATTGTACAATTTTTGCTCAAAGAAGCAACTGAGGCGCACTGCTGTTCTTGATCTTGCTATGGATATTTGTTTAGTTGATTTATGTCCTGCAGTAGAATACAATCAGTAGTGCAGATTTGAATCCCTTAGAACGTGACTAAATGTTGCAGTTTGGATCCCTTAGAACAGGATTGAAATATCTATTTTATATTTTAGTTTAGCAAGTTTACAGAAGCTAATTAACAGTAATTGCATGAGCTAACCACTAACTTTTGAGTCAGCCATAAAAGATTTCAAGAACTTGAGAAAGAAATAGAAATAGTAACAAACATTATGCTAAAATGAATGAGCATCGATAGATAGATAGTAACAACAACAAAAGAGAGAAACTCCATTCTGGAAATTAGTAGAAGTACGTACCATATAGCTCCACATCGCTTGCGCAATAATTTAACAAAATATTTATATATCCAAATGGGAAGACAGCATGTCACGACCTTACTTGAACAGGATCTGTTCTATAGGCTCGTACTACTGTGTCCTTGATTTCTAAGGAGACAGGAACAAAAATCTGGTGGATGAACTATGACCGTGTGATCGGAGCGTGATTAACGGTTCAGTGATGAGACTCTATGAGTGTTATCATGTGTGACTGTAGATGATCGTTCTCAGCCGGCGCTGACTGACTGAGTCGGTCACACGGTAGGCTGACAGATTTCAAAATTCTTTTTTTCTTCCATCAAATTTATTTTTATTTTAAAAGAAAAAGCTAAACTAAATGTTTTCTAATTCAGATGAGTTTCACGCTTAGTACCTGAACAACTCGCTTGTTAGTTGTTCCGTAAAAGAAGAGAGTTTATCTCGCTTTTATTTGTCTTCTCTTTCTTAAGCTTTCCGTAAAAAGTATAACAGCAAGCAAATGCAATGTTCCACATGCATTTCAAATTGGAGAGGTAGAAGAAAGAAGGAAATAAAAGATGGAAAAGACCAACTTTTTTTTAATGAAACAAGTTACTACATATCTACTTCAGACTGAGCTGAGTCATGTGGTGGGGAATATGCCACGTTGAAAATTAGAATAAAACTATTTAAAGGGGCAATATTACCTACACATTGTTTCACCTTAGTAGAAAACATCACACTTTTTCAATTCACACTATATATCACACTTATATATTTTAATATTTACTATCGCTGTTTTTTTTTTTTTTTTTAATTTTATAATATATTCTTCTTGCCGATAAAACTAGTATTTTTTAATATATATAACATAAATGATTAAATAAATTATTCTATAATTTATATTATTTAAATTTTTTGTCTTTATAATTTTAATTTTAGTAAATTAAATTTTTAAAACACTATTTAACGCTCTTTATAGATGTTAAATATACTACTTTTAAATGACACAATTTATTCATCTACATAATTGTTTGAAAAAAAAGAATAGAATATTTAGAACTTTTAATTGATATCTCACATGATTTTTCAATACAACAATAAGTTTAATATATTCGGTAAGACACAACAATCATAGCCACCGAAAAATTTAGGTCCTTAGGTCAAGACTAATTGCAAGTGCCCTTGCGTTATAGAAGGAATCTTAGGGTTTGATAAGCCACTGAATCTTTCTGTTTTAAAAACCTAAAATTCATAAAAATCCAACCTTTCTTTGTCAAGAATCATGAGAAAACCCATGAAAAAGTTTCTTCATTCACCAACAAATTATCTCCAAAATTCAACCTCGTGAGAAACCTCCTAAAATGTTAAGAGTGTGAGGATTATATAGTGGTGTTGTGTGAGATTCTTTAGATACTATTCATCATCTTCAAACTTATACCAAAAAATCATTGTTATGTGTCTCAACTCTAAATATTGAGTGAGATAGATAGATTGAGGTACATTAGGGAATCTAATGTTTTTTGTGTGTGTGAAGTTTTGATGTTTGTATCAGGATAAATGATTGTTTCTTGGTCACATTGTTGGTTGGTGCTTATTGATGACAATTAAGAAAATATACTAATTGTATCAAAGTAATACAATTTATAAGTTTGTCTTCACATGGTTTGTGTTATTTTAACAACGTGATTTGCGTGCTATTGAAATTAAATTGGGGTTTTTCATATTTGATTTTAGAAAATAAAAGCGTAAATAAAATTGGTGGAAAACTTGATCAGAATAACAACGATTATACCTTACTTTGATTCCCCTGTATGTCACTGTTGATGTTGGCGTCTATTTTCCTCTAATATAATTTACCAGTGATTACAACAATTTAACATAGCCTTTATGCCCAAATCCTTGGAGTATAAATTGTGCTGAAAAATGCTATTTATATTATTTAAATTTTATTCTATCAGTGATTAAATAAATTATTCTATAATTTATATTATTTAAATTTTTTGTCTTTATAGTTTTAATTTTAGTAAATTAAATTTTCAAAACACTATATTTAACGCTCTTTATAGATGTTAAATATACTACTTTTAAATGATACAATTTATTCCTCTACATAATTGTTTGAAAAAAAAGAAGAGAATAACTAGAACTTTTAATTGATATCTCACATGATTTTTCAATACAACAATAAGTTTAATTTATTCGGTAAGACACAACCATCATAACCACTGAAAAATTTAGGTCCCTAGGTCAAGACTAATTGCAAATGCCCTTACGTTATAGGAGGAATCTCAGGGTTTGATAAGCCATTGAATCTTTCTATTTTAAAAACCCAAAAAATTCATAAAAATCCAACCTTTTTTGTCAAGAATCATGAGAAAACCCATGAAAAAGTTTCTTCATTCACCAACAAATTATCTCCAAAATTCAACCTCGTGAGAAACCTCCTAAAATGTTAAAATGTTAAGAGTGTGAGGATTATATAGTGGTGTTGTGTGAGATTCTTTAGATACTATTCATCATCTTCAAACTTATACCAAAAAATCATTGTTATGTGTCTAAACTCTAAATATTGAGTGAGATAGATAGATTGAGGTACATTAGGGAATCTAATGTTTTTTTTGTGAAGTTTTGATGTTTGTATGAGAATAAATAATTGTTTCTTGATCACATTGTTGATTGGTGCTTATTGATGACTATTAAGAAAATATACTAATTGTATCAAAGTAATATAATTTATAAGTTTGTCTTCACATGGATTGTGCTATTTTAACAACGCGATTTGCCTTCTATTAAAATTAAATTGGGGTTTTTTATATTTGATTTTAGAAAATAAAAGCGTAAATAAAATTGGTGGAAAACTTGATCAGAATAACAACGATTATACCTTATTTTGATTCCCCTGTATGTCACTGTTGATGTTGGCGTCTATTTTCCTCTAATATAATTTATTAGTGATTACAACAATTTAACATAGCATTTATGCCCAAATCATTGGTGTATAAATTATGCTGAAAATGAAGGTGAGAAAATACTTAGAAGGGGGGGGGGGGGGGGGGTTGAATAAGTATGAAGATAAAACTTAGAAATAAAAACTCAAGGATTTTTATCCTGGTTCGTTGAACTCAACTACTCCAGTCCACCCTATCTAGAGTGATTTGCCTTTCTCAAACAAGGACTTAATCCACTATTTAATCAACTGATTACAATAGTAAGCACTAAGAACAACTGTTCAAAGTCTTCTCAAGAACTACTGATCCTAACTGGATCTTCTTAAGGTTCTCTTACAATCAAATGTAATAATAAATACAAGTGTAAAAATGCTTCTAATAAAGCTTTATCACAACTGTGATTTTTCACTTAAGATTAAGAACAATGAAATAATTCTAGCAAGAATATATAAGTTGTATGAGAGCTTTTTTAATGAATTCTTTTCAAGTGTATTCCGTCAACTGAAGAAGATGAGTGGAGACTTGCTTTTATAGGCACAATGATCCAAGTGCTTTTCACGTTGAGAATAGTGTACCAAAAGGTCTGAGCCTTTTTGTCTTCACATCATGTGACCTTTCCTAGAAGAAGAATGCACAGAGAAATCCTTTTTGTCTGTGTTCTTGTGTCTAGCATAAATAAGGAAAAAGTCGTTTGGATATTCCAACGGACATAATCTTTGAATTCTTCTTCAACAATTTTCAGCAAGAATCATCAGAGTCTAAGTTAGTCAGAGCCTTCTGATGTTCATCAGAGTTTTGCTGAATCAGAGTCTTTGCAGCAAGTGTGCTTTCAACGTGTATAAGTTCAGAGCAGAGTTTTGGGTCAGATCCTCAGTACTGGCAGCGCTAGTACTATCAGAGTCTTCTGAAGTAACTGTGCTTGAAAAACTCTTCATACAGACTTCTTCATTTCTTCAGATGCTTCTGGCTTGCTTCAGATTCTTCTGTGGCTTCTACTTCAAATCCTTCTGGAGGCAGCGCTCAGAATCTTCTGGTGGCAGCGTT